TGATCATGACAATCGTTGACGACATCACCATTAATGCAACATTGATGCTCAAGATGGAGCTTTGTTCTATTTTCACTGATGCTTTGGACACCAGGTTCTTCTCGTGTCAAGATTGCCATCAGCACAACACTTGGTGTTTGTGACTCGCGTGCCGCTGCCATCGTCCTAACGAATAGCACATTATGTCCCATCGACACGTCGAGCGCGACGTCGCCATTATTGCGTTTTGTCAGGACGCGCTTTGTCCCATCGTACACAAAACCGAAGCCCTTTTGCTCGAGCTTGCTGTAAAACATAATGTTGCGCGAGAGCTCTGGCGCGAGGTAGACGTCCGTCAGTGTCACGTCTTGCTGCCTGCCCTTCGCTACCACTGTCAACACCACACTGCCGACTTGCGATAGCTTAAACGTCTCGCCGTCAGCGAGGTGACACTCTTGGTCACAGTCCCGAGCGTTATGCAGCAGAGAAGGATCATTGACGAGGTGGCGAATGGAACCGCTATCTAGGATCCACTCGTTAACACCGTCGTCACTGTCGTTACCAATTGTCATTTCCAGGTCGTCGCTGGGAGCGCGCAGGCCCTTGCTGCCAGTGCCCTCGCCTACGGCGAGCACCATGTTTCCAACGCTTCTACCTCGACAGCCGCCGTTAATGTCGCCAGTCTTCTTGCTGCGACAAGTCGGTCTTAATGTGCCCCCACCTTGCCACTTCCGAAGTAGGTGCGTGTCTCCTTGCATGACGCGGGCTCGTTCCCGTGCGCGACACCTCCTTTCCAAAGGAGCGACCCGATCGAGCTTCCATCTCGATGGCTTGGGCGAAGTGAGTCAGTTCCTTCGCGTGCACGAGGTAGTCGACGCGGTGCGTCTGGTACTTCGCCATTAATATCGTCGACAGCTCAGGTGACGCGTACCGAACCATGTCAAGTACTTGCTGCTCGGCGCCGCCCGCAGCGTCACTGACGGCCACCAGGTAGAGGTAATGCTCCGGCCACGAGCGCTTGCTGTCTTTTCTCATCGTGAAGAGCTTCATAGCTTGTGCAGCAGGGATCGTCGTCTTGAACGTGTCTAGCATGCGTTGCATCATGTACTGCAGCGTTGGCAGCAAAGCCCACCACGTGTCTACCTGCTTGTTGAAGTAGCGCTCAGCGGTGCCAATGAGGTACTGGCCGAGGATATCGGTCTTGACGTTTTCATTCCACAGGAAACCACACGACTCCTGCGCCATGTCGACCTGGCGCCAGAAGGTTTTTCCCCAGCCAAAGAAGCCTGACACAAGCCCGACGTACACCTCGGTGCCGTCAAGCTTGCGTATTGCGAGCTTGCGTTGCCTGGCGTCGGGTGTTCGATACTGCGCCGGCGCAGGGACTTGCAGCTGTGGCCCTGGCTGTGCCTGGTACGGTGGAAGCTGAGTAGGCGGCTGCGGCAACGGCACTGCACGACGCTGCAATGGATGTCGCGCCCCCATTCTCAGGTCGTCAAGACGACCCGCATCCTGCTGTTCTTTAGGCAATTCATGGCGTTCGTGCAGATCCGACAGCTCCAAAGCTCCGCGATGTAGCCTGCCGGCAAAGTCAGCACCGAGCATCGAGCTAAATAGCCCGCTATCGTCGGCGCCGCGCAACCACTCGTCTTCGTCGATCCTTGCTTTTGACACTTCCATCTTCCGCATCCTCAGATCCATATCGTACAGCATCTCGAGAACCTTCGGCAGTTCCTCGGAGTCCGCGCCCCTTGCGTTAGCGGAGGGACTAACGACCGCAACAGGCTCCGACGCGGCCCTTTCGTGACCAATTGCCGGCGGTATCTATGCCGCAGTGTTGTCGTCGTTGCTTTCTGTAGTTGGGCTCATAACCTGTTCAACACCGATAGTGTTAGTTGTAGAGTATCAGTCCAAGGCACTGTGATAGAAGGAATCTGTCATTATCTTTATACACGCACTTACCCGCTCCTCACTATTTATCGCTCCTGTCCACTCCATCTACACTTGGCCCAAATACAGTTGCACATAGTATAGTAGATACAAATGCTAAGTCAGCGGCCGTCATTCCCATCATCCCGCGCCTTTCACGCGCAGCCGTAACTAAGGCGGTGTTCATTTTTAACACGTACTGCACAACAATTAAGCTTCAAGGATAAGACCAATGCCGATGGGAAGGTCGAACGATACAAGGCCAGACTTGTCGCTTGCGACAACGAACAATTGTTTGGAGTCGATTACACTTTGATCTTAGCTGCAGTCATGAAACTCGGGTCTGTCCATTAAATTTTAGTTCTCTCGCGCAGATGGAATGTTCCGGCACGACACGGCGATGTGCTAAATGCATACGTAAAGGCCGATCAAGAAGGAAACCTCGACATCTTCATGAAGATACCAAGTGGGATGCAAGTTGCTCAAGAGACGTTGGACTTTCATGAAGCTACAGACAAAAGACAGCTGGCGTCGTTGCTCAAGAAATCCCTATACGGATTGCAGCAAGCCGGAAGATTGTGGAGCAAGCTTCTACAAACCAAGTTGATCGAGTTTAATTTCAGACAGTGCACGACGGACATGTGCCTATACGTCAATCGAACCGACACAAGTGCAACGTTTGTCGGTGTTTACGTCGGCGATTTGCTGGTGACTGGAACGTCAAGTGACGTCGTTGGACAATTCTTTGAGGTCATGGGGTTTCTCGAGATCAAAGACCTCGAAATTGTGAACAAGTTTCTAGGACTAAGAGTCAGATTGGATGACAGCGAAGGTTACGTCCTAGATCAAGAAGTTACCATTGACTTACTGTTGAAGGAACATGGATTGGCTACAGCCAATGGTGTACGATCGCCAATTGGCGGAGAATGCAATGAAGCCGATGAGAAAGGGTCGGAACTGTTGATGTCGACCTCCAAGGCCGGATTCGCGAGTGTCAAGGCCTTCCAATCACTCGTCGGAAGTTTTCTCTGGATTGCGCGTTGCACTCGACCGGATATCTGTTTCGCAGTGCATCGTGCAACTCGACAGACGCACAAGCCGACGATCAAGGATTGGAAGATGGCGAAGCGTGTTGCGAGATACCTGAAAGATACGAAGAAGTTGAAGCTATGCATCAACAACACATGTGAACTAACCGAAGCCATCAAGATTGAGAGCTAGGGCGATGCGGATTTTGCCGCTTACAAGTCTGACGGAAAGTCTGTTTTGAGATCCGTACTCAATATGGACGGTGCTGTGGTGTCTTGTGTTTGCAAAAAGCAGACTGGTGCATCAATAAGCCAATGGATGTAGAGTTTATTGCTGCTTCGCACGCAGGTCGCAAGCTACTGGGTTTGAAGAAGCTGTCTGGTGAGCTATACATGAAGGTGGTAAAACCCATGCCGATGTGGATGGACAATCAAGCGACGATCAATTTGTTGAAGAGCGAGAAGAGTTCGTCAAGTGCAAAACACGTTGACAATCGTTTCAAGTTTATCTGCCACTGCGCCCACGCTCAGATTGTGCAGCCAAGTTTTGTCAAGTCGGAAGACATGATCGCAGATCTGTTGACGAAGACGCTATAGGCGTCAAGGATATTGCATAAGCTGTTCAAGTTGAAGACCATTCAGGATGACGTCGACGAGGAGTTTTAGAACCTATTACTTCTCACAGGCTGTCAAGCGTTTACGCGTCAACTTCAGACCTGTTACAGGTAAGGTTCAACGGAACCTGATTGTTTGTAATTGTGACAACGTGACAGTTGGGACGAAGAGAACGGACGCCACATGGGACAACCCAGATGCCATGGGGATGGGACGGGAGAGACGATCGACATGTGGGACCAGCATATGAGACGTGCGGACTGGACGCACGCCATCTGCAACTCGACCTGGTCAAGTTGCACTGCAGGAAGATCACATGGTGTATGGAGTAAACGAAAAAAAGGTAACACTCAATACATTTCAGTTTTCTACTTTCTACTACCTTTGCACAAGTGCAACTACGAACACAAATTTCAAACAGATTCCTCATTAGTACCCGAAGTTGTATGCTTGTAGTGCGTGGTAGCTTTTAAATCGCCCGCCTACGCAAGAAGTCACCCAAGTATTCCTCTACGTCACGGAAAAATGTTTTGTCGCTTATTCCTGCAATGCACTAGCCTAATTTTAAAGAGAACACCAGACACTCCATTGCTTGAGTCTTGGCTTCGTGGTGGTCTTCCGTCGTGCCGGCTATGTTTCTTATGAAGGCGCTGCAGCCAACCATCTCGGGAAATTGTGCGTTAAAGGAACAGGTAAACGCTGACGCGGTAGAAATTAATCAATTTTAGATTAATTACATAAGGATGATTGACCACGGCGTTTCCACCTAGCCGATAGCATTCGAAAATAGTTATGTAATTTAGTGAAAAAGCACACAAAAATTAGTCTAAAAGTTGCATTGAATATCTGCTATAATAGGTTTTAGCCCCTGCAAAATATTCGTATATTACCGTGCGCGGCATTATGGATGAGAACATCCAGTGCCTAAAAGGGGCTTACTTCGTTCGCGAATATTGATTAGTATAGTGCAACGCTTTACTAGCTACTAGCTATTAGTAACTGGCCTGCTCTCCCGCTTGTTTCATTGTTGCTATTTTGGCGCCTCGACTTGAACAGTCACAATGCGTGTATCCAGTTTGAAAGGACCTTTTTTTAATTTGCTTACTTACGCCATGTGTGCCAACTTAGGTGTTCAAAAGGACATGTCTATACTGATACCTTTGGAGTTGTATCAATGAAACACGTTAGGCAGAGTTCTAAGGCAGTATCACTCCAGAAGTTCTACTGTTTTTCTAATTTAAAGAGCCTCGTACCTTTTTATCCCAGTGTTGTCTGGATATAAGAATAAAAGCACCATAGTTGACGCCCAAAGGCACGATTGGTCGTTATCTTGTGGAACGACTCGATTCTAGGCAGAGTTGACTCGTATTGAATCGATTCTTCTCATTTCGGAATCCATCCACAACAGCACAACAATATCAAGTATAAAGCAGAAGCTCAATTGCAACGATGGACAAAGCCCTTCAAAGTACCGTCGCGGCTGCAAAAGAATTCTTTAAATTGGAGATACTGTTGATCCAGACTGCGGATGAAACTGCTGACTGCCTTAAGATATTAAAGAGTAATCTTGGCGAATACGATAAGCGTCATGGACTGCTTTTCCTCAACACTTCAAAGTCGTTCGTAAGACGCGACATTCGCTTTGCAAAGGACACGGCATCCGAGCTAAAACATATCGCTGAACAGATTGCAAAGAGTAAACATCCATCGAAGGGGATGATCGCTGTAGCCCGTAGGACAGTTAACGAGATTTTTGACGCGTTGTGCGAACTTAGAACAACAGCTCGTTTGTACGACAGGAAGAATTTAAACAGTGGCTATGGACACGGGCATGAGAGTGCCGAGTTTGAAGACAATTGGTTGGGCACAGAAAAAAAGAGCAGTAAGATCAAGGGCAGTGGTAGTCGTGAAACTCGTAAAGCTATTGCCGATACGGTCGAAGCAGTAGTGAAGTTCACTGTTCACACCCATTTCAGCGGGTTTTCTACTTCAAAGCATCAGCTTATGAATGCGGAAGAATCATTGTCAGCCGATCGTATCATGGACACAATGGCTTCGATATGGGAAAATTGCAGAGAAATTACCAATTTTGAATCGGAGAAAAGGAGAAGAAGTGCATGAGTAGATAGATTTCACACAATATTTGCTTTCATGCCGGTAAACTATTTTTTCTTACATGCTCGGTCTTGAATAAGTAAACAAGCTCACTAAAAAGGTGCTATGTTTCACGTGGTCCACGCATTGTTTCCATCACTTTACACTAAAATAGAGCTGACATTTTATTTTTACAATAAAAGCAAGATGGCTACATGGTTCCAAAAGGAGATTGTGCTGACGGCACCCAGCCGCGGCTTTCACTGTATGTAAAGAGCTTAATAAATTTTCTGCATCATGTTTATGTATATCTCACTTGTATAATTTGAACAAAAAGTGGTGACACGCGACGTTGAAAAGCAGGTTTGGATATTGTTTTTCCAGATTATCCAGTCCTGAAAAATCTAGATTTTATCGTTTTCTCCTGTATGATATCGATGCTATGTAGCTACCCGAAATGACTCGACTAAAAGTTGGTCTAGCCAATTTGTTTATCAAACATACGTCTGCATCGCTTAGTATTAACGAAAACTGCGATCCGGATGTCCGGTGCGTCAGAGAATTAATACTTCTTCTCTGTAGTAATTAATGTTAAATCTGGATATTTTATTGGATATTAGGACCGATATGGAGAACGCGTTCAATCGCATTGTACCGGAATCCTGGAATAAGTAGGATATCCTCCGTGAAATGCTATAATGATATTATCTTGGAGGATAAAGTCTCCTTATCATGTCTGATGTGAATTTTGTAGAGAATTTTTTCGCCACACGGATGAAGGTGACGGTACGAATCACTTTATACTAATTTCGTGATTGAAATTACGTTCAATTGCTGTACGTTTCGACCTGGTATCTCATTTGTGATAGATGACATGCCGGGACATATCAAGTCGACGTTAATCGGTGCGTCGGTGAATATTCCAATCACTGATGGTAAATTTAACCTTGGTACATGGCAAGGTAAGAACGTTAAACTTTTACGTGCAGATCATGATCTTACGAATATAATGTGCGGATTTAATGTTTTGACTCTTAGGCATCTACTTGTGTGAGCACCGTAACGTGGGTGGTTATGGCTCTGGCCACCAGCGCAAGGTTGTCGTCACTATCCAAGGGTCTGCAGCATAATTACTAGCTGCTTCTGATGTAGTGTATCGACCTAATCGACCTACTAGATGCAGCGCGTTTTGCTGTGGCCTATAAGTTGTGCGTTGCATTGGTCGAGCTAGCACCGCGTAAACCCGAAATCTGACACTACACTTCTGTGACCTATTCGCTTTTTTAATTCGTACCTGTGAAGCGTGCCTGTGAAGCGTTATGCATCAGCAATGATTCACAGGCATTAACTTCATATAGGCTTATGTAGTCGTGTCCTTCAACGTTCTGATCAAGGTAGTTTTTCGCTCAGTAGTACCTACAAGTACATAACAATAGCGCAATACTCAATGCTACCGTCCATGTGATTGTCATACAAATTGCTTAGACTACTATATGGTAACTAGGGTGCTCACCCGTCGTTCCGACGGTGCGAACAGTAATATATATACTGTAGGAATCTTTAGAAAACGCAGCGAGTTAATAGGGTTTTTAACCGTCTTTCCGACGGGTATGGGTGCGCAAAGTCTACGCTGATAATATATTGGAATATCATTTTGCTTAAGAAAATCTAGTTACCTTAGGTAAACTGATAAGTAGAAACAGTGTGTATGAAGGTCAATGGGGTACCTGTCGTGTCAAAGGTAAATGTGTGCTGGTCGGTGAGCCCGTCGTTCCGACGGAAAGGTGCGAGCAAACCATAAATGTAGATTCAAGTATATTTAAGAAATGAATGTAAGTCAAACCGCTTTTTGATGCTAAGATCTTGAACGGAGATCTGTGTGCTTTATTAGTGCTAGTAAAAGGATATCTGCAGCAAATTAGGGTGTGCACCCATCGTTGCGACGGTGCGAATCTGGTTGACTCTAATATGTATGATACAATACATATGGGCAACTTCGCTTATTGTAATTGATTTTCAATTCAATCTGATGACAATACTTGCTTCTGCCATTTTTAGTGCATTATTATAGCACTAAGCCCGTATTATAAAACGAATAAAAAACATATACCATATCCGTCGAACGACGGGTACAGACCCTAGTATTTTAATTATATGCTGTGTTTGATATATCAATGTGTAATGATGTGTAAGAAGTTAATGTGTATCCATCGGTATATGGATTAAATATATAAAACGAAGCACGGGATTCGGACACACTAAATGGACTATATATCCTGTTATGAAAATCTGCTCATGTTATTATCTATGCAAAATACAATATCAGCCAATGCAAATTAGCCAATAATGCAAAATTAGTCAATCCGAATGCCGGAAAAGGAGCACTACGGACGGACGGACGGACGGACACAATTCTTTTATTATATAGAAGAAAATGTCAAAATGACTAAACGACAAGAAAGTCTGCCGCAATTTGCCGACAACCTGGACACACTACGTCAACTTAGACAATTGAATTTCGACTCATCAAAAAAAGTACCATCAGCATGCTAAGCGCACCAAATTCCATTCCTTTGAGCTGGCCATAAAAAGCATTTCGTCCATGCGCTTATACATTCCTTCCCATCCCACGTCATTTGATATAATTATAATATTGGTCTTGATTATCAAGACTTCCGTCGAACCAATAGATTTTACGCCACGGCGGACATACGTCACGAATAAGTTGTAAATTGTAGCACGCGTCCGTACGAAAGACTGGCAAGTAGTTTTTCGAACAATCAATGGGAATTCGCGTCCCCTGGGGCTCTCCATTGCGTACAAAAAGGAGAAATCCAGCAAGTAGGTCAACTAGAACCCCAACATGGTCCTCTACCTTGAACGGGTCAGCACCTACAAAGTATACATTGGTTAGAATTTCCAATTTAGGTCCACGGAACGATCCCGACGTGATAAATCCAATCTCAGCGTAGATCACTGCTGAAATGTGATCAAATGCCGATGTTGGCAATGACAGTGTCGGGTTCACATGTGGAGCATCAATACCATAATCCTGTGTAGACACGTCCATCACTCCAATATAGCAACCTTCTTCAAATCCGACACATTCCCAATAGCTCACTGCATTTGGAATACAAATTCGATCACCAAATATATAACCTCCAATAGGTTGTGAACGTAACGCGTAGGAATCTCCATGCTCGGCTAAGTTGACGTCGCGTCCACGTCGTGCAACATCAAAATGTAGATCGAAGGTGTCTATAAAAACGTACGAAAAAACGTCAAAAAACGTCAAAAAACGTTAAAACTCTTGTTTTTACACGACATATCGCATGGTCTTACATGTCTCAATGGCGTGCAATTGTCTCAGCAACTGCAATACTGTTACAAGGTGCAACGCATCTGCTTGTAGCCATTGAAGTGGACGCGACGGCTCAACAGCTGGTAATAGAGAACGGGTACGACTGTTCAGCCAGAACCAGATGGCGGCGCAACTGTTACGATCAGCATTTTTTTGGGTACATACTATAATTGCTACCTCGCGGGCGTTCAAGAACTCGAGCAATGAAGGTAACGCAGCCAACGTGCAACTCATTGGCGAAGGTCGTAGGCGCTTGGTAGATGACATTACGGAACTGAAGTCTAAGTACGTGTATGACACGCAAGCATTCTGATTGGCTACAAGAGCTTCTTTCCTAATTCGATAAAGACAGCTGATTCGCTGAAATGATTACGTATAATTGTTCCGGATAACTAAAGTTTAAGCTTACGTAGTATACATACTACGATGCAGATCATACATTTGTTAGTATTGACGCCGCTAAGTCTATTAGTCGGCGTGCCATTAGGACTATGGAAGGAAAGACTTTACAAGCATTCCATGAAACGCTGGCTATTGGCAATATCTCCCTTTGTTCTTGTACCACTGGTACGATTTTAGGTGAATAGAGAATTGCATAGAGATACAGTTCATTTTACATCTGGCTCTAAATCTTGTTCGTCATCAACTGACTTGATGTTTATTGTATTCACAATGTTTACGCTAGTTGTCCCTTCGTGACGGTGTTATACTGACAGGCAGTTACTTCATTGGACGTCTGTTGGGTGCCTCATTGGTTGGCGTGGGCCTGACAGGAGGTATCGCAACGGGCAAAAGTACGGTCTCTAATGTTTTTCGAACAGCTGGAGCTGTCATCATAGATGCCGATGTAGTCGCTCGAGAGATCGTCTTACCTGGACGTGGTGCTTATCAAGAGATTATACGTTACTTTGGCACGGAAGTCCTTAATGATGACGACGCGACCATCAATCGTGCCAAATTAGGAGCAATTATCTTCAATGATCCTACGCAACGAAAGAAACTCAATGCTGCAACTCACAAGTACATTCTATATGAGATGTTCAAGCAGCTTGTGTACCAGCGTCTTGTCTGTCGTAAACGACTCGTAGTGCTCGATGCCCCGCTATTGTTTGAAACAAACGTGCTCGAGTACTTTTGCTTTCCAATTATCGTAGTGACGTGCACTGAAACAAATGAACTCTCACGACTCATGAAGCGTGACCACATGAAAGTGGAAGATGCACACAAACGTATCAAGTCTCAAATGAAGCTCCATGTACGTGTTTGACAACCATCAATTTCAAACTTGCATTGTAAATCTCACTATTTGTTGTCTACGGTAAATTATTGTGGTGTGTGCAGGAAAAAGTATCAAAGGCTGATCTGCTTATTCAGAACGATGGAACACTGGATGATCTTCTACTTCATACACGAGAAACGCTTCAACGTGCTGCGGCTTTTGTCGGGGCTTCGCATGAACTGCAACTTTAACACGTTAAAATCAATGCACTCAAGTGATATCTCTAGTAAAATCAACACTAGAAATCGTTTTTACTTGATATAAACCACACCACGTGATCATGGTTCGCAAGGGGGTGTCCCTGGAGGAAAAACGCGAGCGTCTCTTGCGCATATACCACGAATCCAAGGAAGTATTCAACCTCAAAGAGATAGAAAAGCTTGGATCCAAAGCTGGTGTTGGTACGAGCTTCCATGTCGATTTTGTAGCAGCTATTTCTCTAAGATCAGAGTATCGTAACGTATTTATAGTGCTACAAACGGTCAAGGACGTGAACCAGGCGCTTGTGGATGACACTTTAGTCGACTGTGATAAGGTTCTGTCTATGATTTAAGACCGAGAAAGAGAGCGTTGTTAGAACAAGAACGTTGGACTGACAAGTGTCATCTGTATAGATTGGGTCGGGAAACTACTTTTGGTCTTTTCCATCCAAGTTATCACAGTCGAGGAAGCGTAAGTTGAACGAGCTGGAACAACGTCGACAGAGTTTGAATGAGAAACTTCTTCGAGTCAAGAAAAGTATCGAGGAACAGAAAGCGTTACGTCCGGAATCGGTAGGATAATCATTTACTCGGGAGTGTTTTTGGTGGTGGTTGTTGGTTAAACTGGAAAATGTGCATTGATGTAGGAGGAACGTGTGCTAAAGTTACGTCGTCTGGAAGAACAGAAAGCAAAAGTGCAAGCTCTGCGTACTAAAGTGCAGCATTTGGCGGAAAATGACCCGGCAATGTTGGAAGAGCTCGAACGTAAATCGTGTGTGGCAAAGGAAGGCTCCGACAGATGGACAGGTACTTTCATCAAGACGACTTGGCAGTTGTTTGTATGACTTTTGACTTTTGTACTGGTACATTGCGATAGATAATGTGTACACGCTTAAGTCATGGGTCGTCAATAAGCGTGGAGTCGAAGGCCGAGAGGTAGAAACTATTGGAAGAGTTGATACGTACTGCAGTGCTGACGTTTGTGTCGCCGTAGGTGGACAAATGGCTTGGTATCAAAGACGATTTCGACTACGTCGAGTAAAGGTTGATGCAAGAATGCACGGAGATACGAGTTTTGTTTATACAAACGAAAGAAGGAATACCGTATTACTTCGCAGTTGATCAATGACTAACATAGTTGCATGACTCATTCATAAAACATCTCAAAGTATCATGCTCATTGCTACCTCGACTTCTGTATAGCTTACCAATTAAAGACCTCCTTGTGGAAGTCAAAGCTGCAGTTGCGCGCGAGTGACTGAGCCTCGACAGTCATTGTCGGTGGTCCGCATGCCACCACAGTCACTTTGCGGCCATTGAAGCGACTCGTGTTAATCACTTCATCAAGAATGGGCTGACCACTGCGATAAGATAGAGTCTCGCCATTCGCACGGGTAACAACACCACCGCTCCTCGCGTTTGACACGTGAAACATCCAGTTGATGTTAATAGGTGCTAGTGCAAGATTTCCAAGAATGGCCATGTTGGGGTCCTGGATGCTTGAGCGAGCTGCAAAGTCGAGCTGCGCGTGACTTGGCAAGAACTCATCCATCATCAAAATGTCCTCTGGATTGCGCACCGCCCACACGACATACCAGTCCGCCGCCTTACGAGTCTTGTCCAAATCGGTGGTGGTTTTGGGAAACAATCGCATTTGATTGACCAGACTCATCATGGGGGTGATGCCCACACCTCCGGCCACCAGTACAACGGCATCATAAAGCTCCACGTTAAGCGACATCTTGCCAAAAGGACCACACAAGTTCGCCGTCAGATCGAACTGCGTACTAGCCTTCTCCAAAAGCTTACGCGTGAAAGATTCATTGCCCATTGCCTTGATGCAAAAACCAAGCGACTTGCCATCCGGCGTCACAATTGAGGAGAACGGATGCCATTGAGTGGCCGAGATAGCCGGTAGACGCACCATGAAGTACGATCCAGGATTTACGTTCATAGCTAGCTTGCCAGTCTTCACCGTAGATTCCAACACAAGTGTGGTTGAATTCGAACCCGAGTGCACAGAAACAGCGACCTTGTACGAACCCGTGAAAGCGCTCGACCATCGGTATAACAGGCTAAGAGCATAAAGTCCGAGCGGGACGCAGAGCGCAAGACCGATGAGCTTTGGAGAATGCAGAATAGCAAACACAAAGCCCACGATTGACAGCACGCGATGACTGAAGTAGAACACTTCGAAGTACAGGCGACGAATAGGCTCGATCGACAGGACGAGCATCACGACGAAGCACGCAAAGGCAATAAACCCATAGAGTGGGGTCACTTCACGATATTTCTCGGTGGACGTAAGCTTGACAACTTCGCTCGCCATTATGACATGTACCAACAAGGCAACAATCATGACGAAGCCGAGCCAGCGGTGGAACTTGACAATGCGCTCAAATGAGCTACCAAAAAGCGCCGACCACACTGGTAGCCGAGCCACCGGGAGGATGAGAAACATAAGAGTCAAGAGACTCACTTGACCCGACACGTTGTATTTCCCCATATCGTTCGATAGAGAAATTAATACAATGACAGCAGCAACAAAGATGAGCATTACCAGCACTTCACCAAAGTGAAGGTCAGCCAATGCCTGTATAAACAAGGTATGGGGTTTGGCTACTGGTGCATTGGTCGTTGACTTGACCGGAGGTGAAGCCACAGTGCGATGCAGCAATAGCTTGCTGACAGGTGAAGACTTGAATACCGTAGTGAGCAGTAAACCACACACTGCCATGATAGCAAAGGCACTGCCACCAACAATACTGGGACAATTCTTGTCATAACACCAGGGTGTAGATGCACTAGAGCTGACGGACGAGCTTATTGAACCTGATGGCGTAGCTGCTGCTGCAATATTGAAAGTAGCTACACCATTAGTGCCGCTTTTGTGCGAAGAAATGGGCCACGAAGTACCGTAGGCCCAAATAAATTCCGTAGTCCCAGTAGCTGAGATTGCGACCTCCGACGACGTGGCAGCTGCCAATGTCCGCTGAAAGCTGAAGCTCATGTTGCTGGTGCTAGTAGAGCCTACGACAAAGGTCGATTGGTCACTCTCTTTCGTCACTTCACTGTTGACGTAACCACCAAGCAAATAGGACACGGGTTGGCCCGTGTTTTTGAAGAAAAGCATAACGTTAGAAGCCGGATTGCTCACCATGACCGAGTCACGGGATGGACCGACACCCAACCATGTGGCTTGACTGGCTATAGATGCTTCCAATTGATATTCAATGCAGACTTTGTCTCCTTGGATCAATGCACGCATGAAGATGGGACTAGAACCGAGACGTGTACCCGGAAGCGTAAGGAATGCAGCACTAGAGCAAATGTCTGCAGTCGTGACTTGAGCACTGGCCATGTTAGCAGCTAAAGCCGTGACTAGTAATGGCAGGAAGAAACGTGCCATGGAATAAAATCTAGAGAGACTTTTATCAAATTCAATAATGGCACTTGTGCTTGAGACTGCAAAAGACAAAGTGACTTAAAGTTTATCATAGGGATAGAGAGAGAGAGAGAGATATACACAATTTAGGAGATTGTTTTTGATGTAAGTGATTAGGTATTTGTTGTTGCAGAATAATAAAAAATGGACAGAGGGTTAAATATCGAGATCAGAAGGTACAGTGTAGTAGCTTTAACCTGGTCTATCCGTACCTATCTAACTGATTGCGTAATTTACGTTACATCCCATTCATTGCCAAGAGGTTCTATTCGTATCACTCAATAAGTAAAGGTGTCTTTGGACTATTTTGGGGGTCGTGCGAAGGTAAGCCATTTTATGGCATCTTTGCACTTTTTGCGTAAGTGAACCCCTTGGCAATGGAGACGATTGTGTTCATGCGCCAATCAGCTGCAAATCCTCAGCTCACACTCCGCAGGTATTGGCTGCAACCAACGTGGACATAATAGCCGCCTCCGTGCTACTTTTTGTTACGACCACCATTCATTGCTGCTCACACTTTATTGGTAAAGTCTCGCGTGGGATTGATTTTGAATATACCGCCTCTTGACGTTTGATGTCGTAAACAAAATTGATAAATTATTATTAATCACGTCGATTCTTGAACTTACAGTAGTACCTTCTCAAACCAAAGCCATATGGATATTATGTAACGCTGTAGGTGGTTGTATCAACCGATATAAAGTATCGGTGTAAAGTTCAATTTGTACTGTATAACAACGAAAATAAACAATGATTCCATTACATTCAATTGTCTACTTAATGCCTTGAAAACGTTCAGGTAATTGTACATGAAGATCACTAGAAGGACTAGCTACAATTTATTGAAACGCAACTCAAGCACATTGCTCTTGCCATCATCATTCAATCACTTACTTTCCGATCATCGCTGTGACCAGTACCCACGAGCCATCATCTCAACGCCTTCAAACAATGATTTGGCTGCAATGGTGATCGAGTGATGCCTCCGTGACAGCATCACTCGGTCATCATTTAGTTGCACGCATGTAGATGACTAGAGTGGTCACGGTTGCAGAAACATAAAGGGTTTACAGCCGTCACTGGGGTCGAATGAAGCCACCGTCGATTCGCAACTTAAAGTTTAATGCAAGATAATCTGCATCAGTTTGTGCAATATCAGGCAGCATTTGTGCCCTGTATTTTGATTCTTGGTAGTGAGATCCACTTGGTCATTAACGTCGTACACTTGTTTCATGCGTCGTGCGGCTATGCGAAGCTGTGGCGTCTTCCACAACTTCTTGGCACTGACCTCTTGTTTTCCGTGCACTTCACGATATGTCGTCTCCTCTTCTCAGCTCTCAAAAATAAAACAACTTTGATGGTGCCAGTCTCGCTGTCGATACAACCACACCTCAAAATAGCTCAAGACACGACCTCTTTAATCATTTTTAAATAGCTGTGGATGGTCTGACTTTTGTTCCGCGTCCTACACTCTCTGCTGACCGTGGGCTTCAAGGTATGATGATCGGGTTTGCTGCTGCAGCAGCCAACTTGTCGGCCTGTTTCTTCTTCTTCGTGTGTTCGGCGATGCGTTCCTTGAGCTCCATGACCTCCAATTCAGCACTCAACAAAAGGGTTTTTGTGTCCTGAACCTCCTTTTTCACAAACGTCTCAGCACGAGCCAACGTCTTGAGCACTTCCACGTCCGAATAGGTCGGCAGATGGTCCTGCATAGTCAGTGGTGGAGATTTCCGATCCGGTCCAGCCATCAATTTCTTATAAAAGAACTCCGTTGGCTCATTAAACACGAGCTCGTCGTAAAACTCGCTTATCACGGGCTGTTAGTATCATATTGATAAGTGTTAGAACTCTAAAAGTTAATAACAACAAGGTCACATTGTCACCTTTTTAGTGCTAGCAGGTTGGCTATTTGGCGGATATAGCACCAGCAAATGGATGATGCTGATCGGCCGTTCGTTTGGATCATGGAAATAGATCTGGATACGTGTCTCAAACTCGCCCCATCCAAGTTCCGTGACCTCGTACGGCGGCTCCGTAAGCACTTTATAAGCAATCATCATCACGTCAAGTTTTATAACATAACTGATAGGTAGATAGATAAACGCACCTCGGACAGGATTAGCGAAGCTCACATGCAGACTAATGACGACTTTGCTGATCATATAAGACAAGTCTTCATTGTCCACACCACGCAAGTAAATCGACCAGCGATGCGTCTTGGTCTCCTCGGCTTTGCGTCCAAGATACGTGGCCACAGACCCATACAGAATGGGTTTACTTACTACCACATTCTTTTGACGCTCGTCCGACATGATTTCTAAATAACAGTTATGAATGTTTCTAACGTGTCGAAATTGCTGGATTTATGTATTAGAATAAACAGGTTTTAACACTAAAAACGTTACCGCACTGTTTCCGATAGCGCTATTGGTACCGATGAAGCGGAAGCAAATAGTGGCTGCAGATGCGACGAGCAAGGAGCAAGAAGATTCGCCATTGACAAAAAGAGGTGCGTGCGTTGTTAGATGAGAATATAATAGAGTCTACTGGTTACGCTGTGTAGCGTCATTATCTTATTTGCCACGATAAGTTTCTATTTAACTTAACGTTATGGTGTTATTGTGCTGGGGTAAATAGCACGAGCGACTGAAAAGTGTCCACACGACAGCGAAAAATCTGTTTCGACGTTAGAGGAGATTGATGTCCAGAAATTCTTGTTACAAGATTGCCAGGCGTTATCGAAAGTACGTCTGTTCACGCTATCTCGAAGAGCTGTCGGGCGATTGTGACGCACTTACCGCTTATTTTAACGGGATTTGTGTCCTGAAGAAACTGGTGGAACAAGCGCAATTGCAAGCAAATGAGCTTCGTCGGGAGCTAGAGAAGGGTAAACAAGTGTTACTGGATGCACTTCAGATGGAAAAAGAGAACATTGACAAAGGTTAGGATGCAGCTTTGATCGATATTGTCAGGTGGTAATGCACTCACAATGTGTTTTATTGTAAATAGATGACAATATCACTCCGCGAGCTGTTACGATTACAATTCGATGCATCACCGGACCACATCGTGGAAAGAGATTTTGCCTGGATATCGACGTGGTGAGTCTCGTTTGAGCCATTTATCTGCAATTACAATACACGAAAAAGCCATGGATAACATTGATCTATTTCATTCCTTGCAGAAACGGCATACGTCATGCTTTATCGGCCGTTCTACTGGTCGAAAATTTCGTCCACCTCGTGGCTTGAGCGTGCCAAAGGACTCGGAGCTTTCTACATCACATGGAGAGGTACATTCTTCTGCTTTTGGCGTCATTGTTACACAAGAACCTGACAAATATCCACTTACAGATAAAAATGGAGACGACAGGAAAACTTTTCTTTATCGACCTCGACAGTACGAATGGTACTCGTATCAACGATGTCGATCTAGAGGCTCATGTGCCGTATGAGCTCACGCTTAACAAACCCATTAAAGTGGAAGTCGGTGATGGCGAGTATGAGTTTTGCTTGGAACAGACATAGCCTACTCCTTTCTTGCCGTGCCAGTGCTACTTCACAAGAGCTAAAGAAGCACAAAAAGCACCATCAAGATGCTTAAACCACCACCGTCATAGTATTATATTCCGTGCTCTTTTTTTCAACTCCATTAATCTGTTTTGTTCCGCCACTTCCTCTCCTTTTACGTGGAATCCAACATTTAGTTAGAGCTCTTCTTGATCTTCTCCTTGAAATCATCCACAGCCTTTTCCGTCTTTTTCAGAGCTGTCTGTGCATTAACATCACCTGCAAACGCCATCTGACACGTTGTCCAGCTTGATCCAGCCCCCGTACCTGCACCGAGACCCGTGATCAGTCCACGACCAGCACCAGAACCTGTAGAATAAATCAAAGACAAAACGTCAAAAGTGTCCGTTTCCTATACTTTTAAAGCATCGACATCACGTACGTGCGAGCACAAGAGACGTGAGGCCACCAGCCACAAGACCAGCACCAAAATAAAGTGTAAAGTTCTCAAGACATTTGTCCCATTTTTCAGAGATACGGTACTCGGACGGGATCTCCTTGTTATCGCTCATATTACTGTCGCTCGTATACGTTTGATTGGAATTCAGACGTGAGGACCGGACTTTAACCTCTCTGATATTCGATAAGTCGTAATATTGAATAAACTACTAAACAGAATGAACTATACACATGTTAAATCAAATTGTTGTTTGTTATAATTAGTAGACCCGACGGATTCGAACCAATCACTGTAATGGAAGAGCGTATCGTATTGTTGGGCTCAATTCAGGAACGTCAGAGCGTGGATAATAGCTCACCATATGTTTGCAAGGCAGGAGGTACACCGGTATGTCGTGTACTTGATATTTTCTAGTGTCTATCAATGTTATAACACACGTATGGATGTTTGTTGATCTCTAGGCTTGGTATTCAGAGCCACCATCGGAGGCCGCAAGCTTAACATGCTCGAATTGTTGCAATAAGTTGTTCTTAGTTGCACAAGTTTACGCTCCAGTGGAAATGGATCGGACGCTCTACGTCTTTGGGTGCAACTCAGTGTCGTGCACCGAATTTGAGGGCAGCTGGAGAGTATTGCGCGATCAGGTTGAGCCGATGAAAGAAGCTCCGGCTTTGGAGAGGATTGAAAATGTGACAGAGCAAATGAAGGTCGCATGGGGATTAGGAAGCGACGATAGTGATTGGAGTGACGATGAAGATGATAGCAACTTGCAAACTTCATCAGCTGATCTTGTGGATCTTGAAGCACTTTTGCAGCAACGTGACGATGCAATGAAGAAAAGCACAAAGACAACCAAGTTGACTCCAGCATTTAAGAAGATTGGAAATGTGAAAGCAAATACTTTACCTACCGATCAAAATGCCTTTGCGGCTTTGTTGATTGAAGTGATGGATGAACCATACGAAGATTACACGGGTGAATGTGACTTTGCACATGAAAATCAACTACTTGAGGAGTACATGAAGCAAGAGGAAGTGGAAAAGTCTGCAGAAATTGGAGACTTACGCAACATCATGACAAATCTAAAGAAGAAACAGAATGCAGTACAGTCATCTAATGCTGCATCCTCAACCGGTGAATCGTATGAGAAAACGCCGGCGAACCAGCGGCATCTACTGCGATTTCAAAAACGTATCAGTCGTTGTCCTTTGCAATGCCTACGCTATGATTATGGTGGTGAACCATTGTGGCCAGTCGTGGTACCTAAAGACTTAAAGGTTCCGCATTGTCCTGGATGTGGACAAGAACGCACTTTTGAAATGCAATTGACCCCGACCATCAATTATTTTCTCAAAGTCGACGAATATGCAGTAGCCGACACTTTGTTGATGAAAAACAAATCTACAATCGCAACTTCGGATGGAATTTGCAAGATCGTAGGACCGGCAGGTGGGATGGATTGGCTTAGTCTCATTGTATACAGCTGTTCGACAAGTTGTGCCCAGAGTCACGAAGAATTTATTTACGTCGTGCCCTCCTCAATGTCCTAACGTAAGAGTCCCAAACCATTCGAGCAACATATATACTTTTGATGGAAAAAAAGCCCCGTTAATACAAATTTTCTTCGTGCAACACTTTCTACGTGCAACATTTACCATTTACACACCATTCCAGCCGTTCACATGATGCAGGCAGTGCGTAGTCGACTTTTGCCACGTACAAGTGTCTTATGCACTTTAAAACCATTGCATCTTCTCTCTTATATGATCAGTAATGCATCACCAATTCAACGCAATTTTTCATTCAGTGCTACGTACCCTACACCCAGTGAATCGGCAGCGATGGATGATACAAATGACAAATCAATACCACGATTGGTCTGCAATAATTGCAATACAACATTAAGTACCACGAAAGATTTGGTCTTTTTTAAATGGTAACAAAAAAATTAGTAAATGGGACTCTATTCTATGTACCATTTTGATACTAAAATGTGATCTTGTGTCTTGATCTCTTGGTCGTAATAGGAGAAATGGTATTCATGTATCCAGTTCAACTGATGAACCTTTTAAGAATTTAGTCCCAGAAGAATCCGTACAAGAAAATAACGCAAATTGGAAAAAACACAAGATGCTCTGTCTCAAGTGTAATTATCAAGTTGGTACACTGGCACGAATCTTTTCATCGGATAAGATCTTGTTCAGTGCGTCCTGTGTAGCAGTACAAATGCCAGAGCATCAGTCACCATTGATATCATTGTCGGGATATCCGTCGTCTCAGTTGAGCTTTACGATGTGGTCAGAATTAATTTTAATGGCGGAGACTCAACCAGAACTTAAGGACTTGCTTCAGATTCGCAGAGTGGACAACATTCAGCAATACTCGACGGACAATGTTATGCTCAATCGAAAATTTGTCATGGCCAAAGACTTGCAGGAACTACTTCGCATGGTAGACGAAAATGTAAGAACGGATTGGGTAAATGTCCGGTGGTGATGATACGCAAAACTAAAAGTTACGAATATTGTTGTAGGCTTTTGACTTGAACCAATACAACATCAGAACGGCGATTGACCGTGCAGGCCGATTTGTAGCGACGAGGACGACCCGAGCAAACTTGCTGGTGAGGATCATCATGCTAATGCATGCGCGATAATTTAGCAGTTCTGACGTCTAACATGTCATGTACCTTATGTAACAACAGGCAGTCAACAATAGCTCCAGCAAATCTGAAGCACCCGAAGATAAGCTGCTAGCAGTTGCGTCGCCCGCTTTGTTTGCGAAATGGTCGGCCAAGCCTGATGCCGCCGACACAAAGCGGTAAGTCAGCTAAGCTGCTGCAATGGTCGCTACATGCCTTACTAATTTGCTCGCAATTTCTATGACCAATGCAGATTTTGGAAACTAATTGATGAGACTGAAAAGCTAGTAAACTTTGGTATTGCCGCCTTCAAAACAGGCCAAGCACTTTCCAATCTCACGACTGCATTGATGCGCCTCGGTGTGGGACGGTCTACTATTCTGCAGTACGTTAATTGTATTCGAGAGTCTCGCTTGCGGGAGGAATAACTAATGGCGTAACTAATGGCGTTTTCTTCTTTCAGACCTGTAGCTGCGCAGACCGTGTACATGATGCAATCTGACAAGCCTAAAATCCGCGCACACGAAGCCTGCATGGTTGTTACGGCAGTAGTGTACTTGCTGCCAAGGAAAAGTCGCAGAAAAGAATGGGTTTTGGAATTGTTGCAGGCAACTAGCAAAATGGTGATGGCCGAGCTTGACGATGAGAAAACAAGTGATGAGGACAAACAGCGAGCAGCTGAAGTGCTCGTTCCACTCGCACGGTCCTTCTTGTTTGCGGAAAGTTTCGAAGAAGATCTGTTCCGACGAACGTTTGAAGAGGTCAACTCTGGAGCACTGAACAAGCTAAACATGCCGTCATTTAAACTGCAGGTACTCATGTCAAAGCTGTATCAGGTTCATTTGGACTGCGAGCTCAGTGACCGATCCGTCGATTTGAGGTTGTTGCCGGCGTTGGAAGAGGAGTGTAAGCATGCATTTAACGCCCACCAGAAGAAGAGCAAGAGCTCGTCATTCCGCTTGCACCACCTCGTCTGCACTGCGCTCGATGAGATTGGGATTGCCAATGAAACCTCGTATGCTTCGGAGACGGGTTACCATTTCGATGTGGTGGCACCGAGACAGAAAATTGCTATCGAGATCAGTCCGTCGGACTGCTATCAGGCACTGGAGCCAGGCGACGAGGACATGGACCCCAAAACCTTCGGCTTCGTGGACCTGAAGACGCGGCACCTAGAGCTTTTAGGCTGGACCGTTATTAACCTGCACGCGGATCGGTTCTTGCAGCTCGAGACACTGGAGGACCGCGTGATGCACCTTAGCATGCTGCTAGAAATCGCCACCTGCCGGGGGCAAAAGTTTCGCCCCATGCAGTAAAGTTTACTCAATTGACAGTAACAAGCTAGAGCTATAGTAGATATACATACACCCACGCAGTTGACACTCCTTTCTCAATGCAAACAATATTCATGAATGTTGCTAGTACAGTTGCCTCTATATGCTTACGCCAGCATCCACATACCTAATCACTCTACTCAGAATGCTTGGTCTTCTTCTTCTTCTTGTGCTTCTTCTTCTTTTTGTCCTTCGAGGTTTTCTTATCCGTAGCTAGCTCCTCTTCTTCAGATTCTTCGGCGACCTTCTTACGCTTCTTCTTGTCCTTCTTCTTCTGGATCTTATTCTTAGGCTTCTCTTCTGCATTGACCATATCGACCTCTTCCTTATCATTATCATCGACAACCACTTCCGCCACGACCTGCTCCAGTTTCCGCTTCTTGCTCTTCTTCTTAGGACCTTCCTCTATCTCAACAATCTCGTTAACGACAGCTTTTCTCGCAGCACGTTTTGCCTTCTTCTTGTCTTTTTTCTCCTTCTTTAGACGTTTATTCTTCTTCTCTAGAAACTCCTCCGTCTCGCTCTCGCTGCTTTCGATTGGCTTGGTTTTCTTTTTCCTCTTCTTCTTAGTCACTTCGATGTCAACTTCCTTCTCTTCCTCCCAGTGCTTGTGCTGGTAACCACCTTCACCTTGGCGTACAAACATGGAATACAGTCCATTGTTCGGCAGTCCATCTGAACGCTTGACTCCCTTCCGTCCACCTAACGACGCGAAACCAAGGCCACCCTAAGCGTACAAAGCCACATTATAGCCATCTATTCAGCAAATAGCTACCCATCTACTTAATAAACTTGCGCGAATCATTGCGCTTACCTTTTTACCACCAGGACGAAGCTTGGAGAGGACGTCATGAAGTCTGATGAGCTTTTCGTCCTCCATTTGGTCTTTGACGAATGTGGACCAGTCTTTTTTTCAATGGAACACGTTGTTTATCGATAGTGACCTAAGGAATACGGACAAACATGTGTTTCATCAGAGATATGTACTGAGTAAGACGCTTAAAGCCAGGGAGGATTGTCTCAGCACAATTTATAGTGGTCTTATAATGTATACAGCTTATACTACTAAACAATTAGTATACCATTATCGAACGTATGACTATATAGAGTACTGATACGAGTCACGCTGTTTGGGTTCTTGAGTCTTACAAGACAAGTGATGTTTTAAATAGGGTGGGATTCATAGTTTTGACGACGTTAAGTCCAGCTAGCTTTAATTACACTGCCTGCACAGCCACTTCATTGGTGTCAGACGTGTTCTCGTCATTCGATGACGTCTCGGATTCACAAGCTGTTTGACGGTGCCACATGTTGACCAGCTCCAGCTTACGAGCCGTCTCCGCCGATATCTCATCGTCAGCTTCATCGTGAGTTGCGATTTGTACTTCCTGCTCGTCGGACTCCGAGTCGGCAGTATCGTCACTGCTGCTTTCAAGTAAACCCTCTTTTGACAAACCGTCCATTCCAAAGGGCTCCGCCGCAGCGGTATGTGCGTGCGAGAGCTTGACAAAGCAGTTCCTGATGTTCACCCAATTGAGTCCGATACCTGCAAAAGAGAGTCCCAGACCCATCGCCTGCTCCAGCGACAACACGTGGCCGAACACGAAGACCGAAAGCACGATGCTCAGCACCTTGCGGCACGTGCCGATAATGGCCGTGGTCAGCGCACCGAAATTGCTAATGGTATAGAAAATAAAGGCTTGACCACAGGCGCCCGTCAAACTGAGCATCAAGAGGTTGGGCAGCGACGGCACCACGTATTGGAGAAATACTGGCACCTCGCCATTGATTGCCATTCCAGCCGCTGAAAAAAGAGCCTTGTACATGTTGACGTAGTACATGAGGTCAAAGGCACCGATATGATAAGTTTCCATGAACTTATCCTCAAGGGCACCAGTTGCACCATCAAATATTAGCGAGAGTACTAGTAGCGAAAACCCTAGCACCATATTAGAAGTACGCTCGTGTTCTGGCAAACTGTCGTGGCTCTCATTGTGCTGTGCTGCGCGGTGCTGCTTCTCATGAGCTGTTCCCAGCAGAAACACTGCTACACCAATGGAGAGTACAGCGACCGACACGTACTTCTTGAACGCGTACTTCTTTCCGAGTACAACGCCCATAATCATAACGGGAATGGACTTGCACGACTTGCCCAAGATCCGGGTAATGTACGTCACATAGCGCAGTGCCACCATGGATGCGATAGTTGAGCTAAAAGCAAGCGCTCCCACGACGGCCAAGAAACTTTGCGGCATCGTGGACGACTTCTCCTTACGAACGTGACTCAATCCAATAGCTACTACTGAATTAAAGATGCAAAAGAAAAAGGTCATGGACAGCTCACCCAATACGCGATGCGTCGTGATCTTCTCCAGCACCACACCGTTGAGTGTAAAGGACACCATGATGCCAATGCAGCAGAAAGCCAGTAACCAGACGCTTTTCTTCCTGGCGATGACCTCTCGTTCCGAGATCTGGTTCATCTCGGCTAGTCCACTGCTTTGCAAATCCACGATCGTCACATTAGGCAGTCGCTTGGATTCTTGAAGTGAGACTTTATCATCCAGCACCACCTCGGCGTAGTGCAAACGCTCGCTTGAAGAGGAAGAATCTCTGATGCTGCACACCATTTTATATCGAAAGGATGCTAGAGATTCTTACTAGATTATCACTTGTAGTGTGACGCCAGGGTCAAGAGCTCCTACGCAACGACGGTGGCGTAGTCTGAAGAAACGCTGTGGTTGGCGTACAAGATGGCCAATGACTGGCCTGAAATGGTGAAGGTCAGCAGGTGAGTCATCTGTCCAGGACAGGTTCATACATAAACGACACGCTGCCAGAACAGACTGTAAGGATTCACCTCGCATTCGACGTGCGTTGAGGTTGGCAAAACAGACGTCTGTGTACCAAGATACTCAGAGCATCTATGGACCAAACGTAAATGGAATTCCGAGACTCCCAAATAAAATAGCAGGATACACCTCCAGTTGGTAGAATAATGGACTTAGATGTAGCAAGGGTTTGCTCCTTTAAGGACCGATCCTTAATCACTTCCACATCTACTTCCTCCTACTCACATTATATACACGACTCATTCGCTTGATAGATGTAGCTCAATGTCGATAGTAATGGTAAAAAAGGCTCATGGATTGAGAAGGACTCAATGGTCTTGTTAACTACTCAGATCTTAGCTAGACATGCAATTCCAGACTTCGGAGCAACCTTGCTTGCTCCGTGTTTCAGCCGACCGATCAATCCTCCACCCTGCTCAAGCAGCGGCAACGCATACACGCTGAAGTGTTGCCATCCAACATAAAGCTCCATCCGATGTTTTATGGCGCACGCTCCAAATGAATCGTCTCCTTGTATTGATGCCTCACAGCCGTCGATCAAGACGAGGCAAATGAACAATCATTATCGCTTCTTTGCAAATTTTGCTCTTAGCTCTGAGCTATGGACGCCGAACAAGACGCGTGTTTATCTGTGTGCGCGAGGTAGGTAAGCATGATAATTTCCAGCTCCACATATCCATCCTGAATTCGAACATCGTTATCTCGTCGTTGTCACATTTCAACTTTTTGCAACAACGATCGGTTGATCCGATACGTGTCCTGCTGAACAGTCATATTAAGTCGAGCTAACCTTGGTACGATGAACCGCTGGTACTACTACTCTCAAGATACCCGAAGCAGCTCGACTCGACAAAATTTTATCATCAGACCAGCCAAGTGCAGCGAATGCTTAGGTTGCCTGTAGACGGACACCTATTTGCACGAGTACGATCGACGCTTGCTGATACTCTCATCGGCTTTGACAATGCACCTCCCTTGTGACCGCTACAGCGTGACAATCTATCTGGGGCTTCTACCTGCTTTTCTTCGACTGGGGGTTGAGAGGAAATTCTGGACCGGGCGGAGCAGGATCCGTCATTGTCCAACTTCACATTCAGACGCACGCAGCATGCGTCATGTGGGTATCGAGCATGGCCTACGGTTCTGCAAATACCACCAACAATGTAGCTGAATACTGGGGGCTCGTTTACGAGCTTTGACAAGCGAAGGCTAGCGGCTACTCACCTCTGCATGTCGTGGGGGACAGTGCGCTTGTGCTTTTGCAACTTCGGACGCACCATCCTCCACGCAAGCCACACCTGGCGCTGCTATTCCAAGAGGTAAGATCAATTGCTGACAATATCGGTGTCTCCAGCTGCGGACATCACTTTTGCTCATACAACAAAATGGCAAATCGAATAGCGAATATCGCCATGGACACTGGAGCATCTATACAAGTGCACGCTTCTGCGGAGGAAGGTGTTGTCACGGAGGCTTCGGCATTCCTGGACCATGATGTCAACCACTGGCTGGAGGTCTCTCAAGCCGAACACCACGAACCCCAGGGACCCGCAAAGACGCCACGGAACCTTATAATCTCGAGACAAGACTTTGCGCGGCGGCGCTCGGCTGTCCGCGAACTAGTTCTACCTAGTACTTAACTTTAAGTCGGCCACGGTAATTCTGTTACCTGTCGACAGGATGTAATGGGTCGTACGCGTTTTCAAATACACCTCACCTTCTCACTCACTCACTTAGGTTGCCTACACTCAAGCAGCCCCCTTATCTCCAACATCCGTGTGGATAGCAGCCGAACAGGTTATAGAAATCAAGCAGAAAAAGTTTTTCGACGTTGCTCCGTTAGGTACTTGTGTTTGTACCACCATGATGACAAGACGTACATGTAGCTACGGTAGGAGAATGACCGTGAAGACCAAATCTGCATCGTACTAGCCATTTTCGCTAGGGCAGTTTCGGGTACTCGAGCACAGAGCTCTAATGATTCGGCCGACTCAGCGTCGAGAGGAACCTAGGAAAGTAACATATGAAAACTACACACAATGAAAAGACATACGAGCAACGCCCCGCAAGGTCTACCCGAGACCATCTAAAAGCGACCGAAGTCGTTTTGTGCTTGATCATAGATTTCGTGTACAACTTCGAGTAGACCAGCACGCCAGCACGTCCTCAAAGTGCTGAACGTGTGAGAGATTGCCGCATAAAAAGACTATTCTGGCTGCGAATGTCTCGCCAAGCAAACGGAGATATTGCGTTGACGATGGGTGCAATAGCAGACACTGTCAGACTCGGACATCGTCTTTATAGATGGCACAGCGAAATGAAGAAACCGGGTCCAATGATTATCAAAATTTTCTGTTCGTTCCATGCATAAGGGATACCAAGCAGATCAACATGCCAAGTGAAAGCGAAAGGGGTCTTAGCTTCTTATACAAATACGACCGCCTAAGAAAACTAATCAACAGACGAAATGACGTGTATTGACAATGTTTCTTTCCAGCTACTCAACGATCAGAGACTTCAGCAAGTTCTCCATACCATCCATCGCATGTTTGATTGTCTCCATTGAGCTTGCGTACGAAATGCGCATGCCGAACTCGTCACCAAACTCCGAGCCAGGCACCACAGCAATGTGCGATTCCTGCAGCAGGTACTCACAGAATTCGTCGACGCTAGCGAGCGACACGCTCGTGTCAGCAGTGATCTTCTTCTTTCCCATGAAGTAAATCGATAAGTCGAGGAACACATAGAACGCCGATGTCGGGTACGCAAAGCGCACGTTTGGCATGGCGGTCAGTCGCTTGACGATATAGCGGCGCTTTGTGTCCAGGTTCTTCATCACCTCTGTCGTGCAGCGCTCACCCTTCTCCATGCACTCCAACTCGTACGTCAGCGCCTCGACAGCAGCCACTTGTCCCACGGTATTCGTGCATGACGTCAATTGCGCCTGAAGCAGCGTGCACGGATCGATGTAATGCTTGGGTGCCGCTAGGTAGCCCACACGCATACCAGTCATGGCATACGCCTTCGAAAATCCATTTACTAACAGAGTTCGCTCGTACATGCCAGGCAAAGTGGCGAAGCTTACGTGCTTGCGTTCCGGAACACCCTCGTCTTGGTACAGTAGCTGTTCGTAGATTTCGTCCGACACAACAACTACGTGACGGAACTGCGGCTTGCGCAACACAGCAGCAATCCTCTCCAGATGCTCAGGGCTGTGTAATGTACCGGCAGGGTTACTCGGGTTGCAAAGGATGATGGCTTTGGCGTCTGGGTGCGCCGTCAGCGTCTTCTCCAGCTCCACCGGGTTGATCAGGTAATTTTCCTCGAGCGTTGTACGCAGTGAAATCGGCTCGGCGTATACGAGCTTGACGATCTCCGGGTAATTGAGCCAGTACGGTGTCGGGATGATCACCTTCTGACCGGGCCGGCATATGGTGTACAGCGCCTGGTATACCGACTGCTGCGCACCGTTGGATACCAACACCTCCGTGGCTGGATCATACTTGAGACCCTTGGCTTTCTCTAGGTACGTCGAGATAAGGCTGCGCAGTTCCACCAGGCCTTTCATGTGCGCGTACTTCACTCTGCCCTCGATCATAGCCTTGGCACCCGCAGCTAGCACGCGCTCATGGGGGTTGTAGTCAGGCTCGCCGACACACAGGGACCAAACCTGCTTACCCTCAGCTTCCATTTGCTTGGTCTGGCCATGGATCAGCACAGTTTTGGCAACCACCACCTTCTGGAATATAGGGTTCAGCGGGTACTTGTCGACCATGGTGATACAAGTGCCGGTATCGAGGCGTCCGGTCTTGCGGGACAGCTCCGCCGCTGTCACGGTCTTCTTGTACTGCGACGTCGCGTAGGACCCCAGGACGCGCACGAATGAACAGATTTCGCTGATTCGTCGAATTGCTGCAGCCATGTTCGTGTCCGTGAAATGACCTTGCACGTCCACGTAGAACAGATACTTGTATCCAGAGGAGTCTACTGCTTCTTTGTCGTGCTGGTGCGGTGTCTGGCCGTTCCACGGACGACTCTCAATCTTGATCAGATCCAACTGACGTTGCAAAAAGACCGTGAGCGCGCGGCTGAGCATTCCTCTCGTCGAGCTGTTCTTGAAACCAAACACCAAAGATGTCTTGAAGTCTACGTCGTTGGTTTTCACATCCAATGCTAGATCCTCTTTCTTGGACAGCAACAGGTACCGCGTGTAAGAAACGAGGTCGGCCTTATGCACCGGAGTGGGGAACTCCTGCAAATCGTACTCGCCCACAATATGCAGGTCGTACTGGAGCAGTAGATCGTAGTTGGCGTGGATACTGCCGCGTGTAGATGTCTCGATGGGCAGCACGGCAAAGTCCACTTTTTCGTTCTTGACGGCGTTGCACGCGTCCTTGGCGCGCTTGTAAGCCACGGTTGAAGCCGAGTTGTCCACGAAATGGTACGCGGCTCCTTTGGCTTTGCCACCTTCGTACGCAATCTTGAGTTCGGCTCCCATGGCTTTGAGTTGAAATGTATTCGGGGTGTTAACGATGAAGACAATTTGGAAATAAGCACGTTTAACAGACGAAAACTTGCACAATGAACGAGGGTAAACAAGGGATTGCGGCCATTTACTGCAACCTGCGACTTGCTTCGATTTTTTTTGAAACAGTGACCATGCAGCAGTGTTTGAATGGGATGAAGTTTGCGGTTATAGTGACGATCAAATGCTTGATTGATTTGCAGTAAGGCTATCTATGCTCATATCATCTCGGTAATCGCCAGTACCGAACTGATACACAGACAAATAAGTCTCTCCGTAATAAGTGTATTAGGAACAAGCCATTTAATCTAGCTAGACGTTTCAAATGAAATGAATGCATACTAACTTGTCATGAAAATAGAATAGAATTTAGAGGTTGAGTCCTTTATGCCATTGATCGGATGATGCTCAAGTGACTCATATGCGTATCACTGGACCGCTGCAATGGGATTGGAGGAACGCCTATAAACCAGCTACCATCGTCCGTGTTCATAGCGCGGTTTCTCGCTTAGACAGAAAGGCCTTAGAGCAAGGGTCCCTGCTTTGGCTATGGTCTACTGCCAGAGTGACTCGACTTAACGGATCGCGGCATCGGCTGCACGACGAAGTCTGTGCTATGAACACAATTGGCTTGTGCAACTGTGACACTACCTTACAATCAAATGCAGCTAGATTCGGTGGATGCAGTTCTTCAACAAGAACGATAACCACTTCGGTGTAACCGCGTACTCGCGTATTGCATGTGACTGGATATACGCGAAGCTAATGACTCCGAAAGCTCCTACATTTTGTCGTCACTGTGCCGGCACTAGCCCAGCATACCTATTCATTCTGACTGAGGAATGCTCCGCCGGGACCATCTTCCGAATGGTCTTACAGAAACGTCTGGCATTGTGAATGCGCCTTCTTTTGCTAGTCGCTCTTACTGATATTAAGTTCTCAATGCCTAGTATGACAGATAATGAACGATGTCGTGTACTACGTCACGGCGTGATTGCCGAGGAGGCTAGCACATTTGACAAGAATACGGACATGTGTTGATAATAAAGAGGCCAACGTTTGCAACCTGTACAGACTGCGAAGGGTCCATTTTTCAAGAATAGAGAAGGGTGGGTACGAGGTGCGTTGGTGTCGAAATGCCAAGTCTGTTTGGCCAACCTCAAGCTGCGTCGAATTCGAGGTAAATTGTTGCAGTCCGTTCTGGCAGACTTTTTCTGGTTTCATGTGATTTTCGACTAAATTCTGAAAGAGAGACAGACGAGTTTATTTAATCGGGTCAGTTGCAGTACGTCTGGTAGATCCTAAGCCTGTGTATAGCCTGGTTATTGTCTGACTATGCTAGCAGACAGACGTGTACCGTTGTTTATGTCCTTATAGACCGCTCGAGCGGCCCGTTTGTCTAAATGCGCGGTCGCCGGAGCGACGGCGCGTGGCGTGGGGGTGTAGTCCCCGTTATGACCGCTTTCGCGGTTCGTCGAGCTGACTTGTAAAGCATTGACGCATGGCGTAGAAAACACCGCATCTTTCCCTGGACTGCTGTCCGGTGGCCGTGCGAGATGCATGCCTGAGACATGACCCCACCCACCTCGGCTCTTGAAAGGGAGGGTTTCCGTCGAAGGTGGGTGCCAGTGATGAGGGATAAGGCTTGACATTAAATTTTTTTGGGATGCTCTCGATTGTACTTCTTTTTTCTCTAAGACTGTAGTGGGAATCTGATTGCGTCCGATAATCGAATGTAATCGGATCCTCACTGTTGAAGGGTGGTATTTGCTAATCTTTGACCGATGTTTAATTAAGTCGGATTAGCAAGTACCACCCTCAACATCGCGCTCGGCACCGGAGCTACCTCCGAGAGTGCGGGCAGATATTGAGCATATGTTCCCAGACAAAACTGACATCGTTGGACGGGCCTGGAAAAGAATATGGTGGATAGCGTGCTCCGTATGCGTGACCATGCTCTGGATTCAGCGAAACAGAAGTATTCATAAGCAGGAAAGTGCGTCCACGGAGCAAGAGGTAGCAGAAGTCAAACAAGTCCTTCTTCGCCAACTCCGAGCGGTCGCTATCAGGGAACAACGAAGGGATAAAGATGTGAGCAAAGGCGTCTACCTTCGCCTAGCAACGGAAATGTTCCAAGACACCATCAACATCCGGCAGCCGGTACTGCATAGCCCACGTAACCGCCAGGAGACAACTCCGGGGGTACTGGAATGGCTGAGGACTTTTCAGAAATCTTGTAAACCATAAACGGTAAATAGACAGTCTGTTTCCACAAAAAAAGTACCACCCTCAACAAGGCGCTCGGCTGATAAAAATTCAGGAATAATAACCCAATTTATATATAGCACTGAAGGGTGATTCATATCGAATCCATCACAAACACATACGGCATTGAAATTACCGCACAAGAGGAAATATGTCATGTATAAGATCCTGTGTCAAGCTGGTTTCTGAAGGTTAGAATTGTATCGTTGTTGCTGTTGGAACGGAGAGTTGCCACCTGTGCGATTCCACAACCATCGACTAAGAAAAGGGGGGGGTCAAGCTGGTCCTACTCCCTCGCTTCTTTAAAAGTGCAAGCATAGGCGGCTGTCACGATTCGAGCGTAGTTAAGTTGATAAGGCACCGCATCAAAGCGACATCAGAAAATTTCAATGTCAGCGATATCAATGTCCAAGCTCCAGATACTTCGTCAAGCTCACGTTGAATCTCTTTGGACCCCTTGGTAGCAGGAAACGTTAATACTGCATCGACTGAGTCAATAATGATCTTCGTGCTCGCAGACTGGGCGGATTCCTTCTAGACACGGTAGCGTTGCGGCTACAAGAGAGCAATTTCAGGTGCCGACCACAACGAAATCTCGTTCGATGACCTTTATCTGCACTTGATAAGTGCACCATCTATATGTGCAAGGAGTGGGAACATGCTACTACCTCCCATAGTAACTCAACACATGGACCACGGTGTTTGCATGCTTTTTGCATCAGCAGCACTGACTTGACAAATAGCTTATTATGTCGCATGAGCAGTATCGACGTCGCCACATTTCTAGCGTAGGTATTCTGTTAGCAAATGCAAGTGAAGCCATTGTCATCAGTGCTGGCCTCTGTTTTCCGCAGAAGATCTAGCATTAAGCCTGATGGACAATCGTCATCCTACTGACATTTAATGCTTGGCATGTGGTTAACGTTCGTTATGCGGAGTCCAGGGGTGTTGTCGATTCGAATCTTTGGCTGCATCGTGCTTATGGTGAGAAATTCCACCTTGCTAATACATAGCCATCAGTTACGTATCTACATATTATAGTGGCCTGGTAGTATCTATTTATATGGGTCAGAGCTGTCAGCTCCTGTTGACAGCTCGTGACTGCAGCATTTACACATACAAATAGTAGATAAGGACAAATATCTCAGAGAGACAAATGAGCAACAATTATATTCTACTCTTATCTCTCGTAATGCTGCTTCTCTCAGACTTAGATCGCATTTGGCTCACTGGGTGGCCCACCTCAACCAATCAGCTTCCCAAATTATGGCGTCGCCATCTTCCTTATCAGCCAGGGGAAATTAGGACTGTTATGAAAACGGGTGTATGTGCAGAGAGTCATCATCGTGTTCGTACGTGGATCAAGTAGGGGCGAGGTAGATTCATCCGTCCCAATAGCGTTGCCATACTCGTCTAGTCTGTTTAATTTAAACCAGGCAAGAATCTGCGATTTCTCAATCCTGTCGCAATCCGCATCCTCAACAACTGCAGACGGCAGCCATGGGTGATCAGAATATAACATTTTAACGGATTCGCTGGGACTGCAGCCATTAATGTTATGGGGATAGCCAGCTAGCCAGGAATACGAGGTATCGTAGCCGTAGTCGTCCAGACCCATAGCTTCAAGCCAGTGCTTAAGCAGCGTCTCCTCTTCTGCTGACGGCTGTTGACAACTACACATTGGATTCTTCGTTTGAATAGGTGCAACTGTTACCAACAACAAAGAGAAGTTAGAGCAACGACGTGTGATAAATGACGATGTTTGATACTACATTAGGCATCAAGCTTTCCAAAATAAAATAACGCAAATACAATCACATACTCGGATTAGTCTGATGGCAACTTCCTTTAATGGTGTCCACTTTCGTAATGCTCGAAAGCTCTAGCGTATTCGTCCACGACTGCTCAAAGATCACCACTTGATATGGCGAGGGCGTGCAGGATGCCAGCGTCACGTTAGAGCACTTGCCTTCCGACATCAAGACATTGCAGCCGTTGATGTCGAGCATGTAGTTGATGCCAGCCACCACTTGCGCTTTTACTGAAATCACGTCGGACCAGCACACGCGCATGCTACCCACCGACTCGGAAAAGCTCGTGCTTCTAAGTGCGGCTGTCAATTTGTCCGTATATGCGGGTACCAAGGGGACCAGATCATATGCGCCATCTATATCGTCCGCAGCACTATGCGTCGCGGCGAGCGCAGTGAACGTCAGAAGAGCAAAAGCTACACGCATCTAATGTAGATTGAGTGGTAAGTGGGCAGTTTGAAAATGACTGAGTGAGATGTTCCTCACTTTCAAAGATGAAGCAAAATAAACATGGGTTCAGCAAAGACTTCTTTTGTTTAGTCACGCCACCGAATTCGTAAGAACATCTCACTTATCAGGATATAGCCATAATCAAATGCGGATATGTTTAATTGGGTCAAAATTCAACGAGCTTTCAAGAAAAAATGTCTTGCTTACATTTGGCCCATCGACTTTTCAATACATGTATGTTTGTTTGGTAGTGATCATGCCATAGATGGAGAGCTTTCTTCAATTCGGGGAGTTCGGTCGGGTATTCGGCAGGGCTGTCCTCTCGCTCCCCTTCTTTTTCTGGTGGTAGTAGAGGTATTGGCAGTTGCAATACAAACGTCGCCACAACTTCAGGGGCTCACACTTCAGGGAGCACATACACCCAGTCACATCTTTTCGGGGTTTGTCGACGACTCCACATTATTTCTTCAAAAAGCAAGTTTACTACGACCGGCTATGGAAATTATTACTGAGTTTGGACGGCTATCGGGGTTGCAAGTGCAACCGACTAAAAGCCAAATCATATTTTTAAATACGGCTATCCATCAACTCACGTACCAAGGAATTGCAGTGGTTGCTCCGTCAACAACTACGAGATATCTCGGATATCAAGTGGGGACAGGAAAGTTGCGAAATATTAATTGGGCTCTCCGCATCAAAAATACACAGCGCCGCCTCCTCACTGCAACGCGAGTATCGACGACTCTCGAGCACCGTGTCCTAATACTCAACACGATTGTTCTCCCCGGGATTTTGTTTACAGCAGCAGTTTTCGAGCCCCCCGGCTGGGCGCTAAAACAATTGGATCACCTCTATAAACAATTTCTCTGGAAATCGTCCAACAAGATCGAACCTGGGAGACACAAAATCGCTCCAGGCCTACTCTACACTCCCCGGAAGGCAGGAGGAATTGGCCTAGTGTCCGTCCCAATTGCTATTAAAACACAGCGAGTGAAACACGCGCTTCTGGCACTTACTCGGCCGGAGGATATGTATCTCACAGCGTGGGTGTCCTGGAACACGCATGGGGCACGTAACACGAGCATCAGCCCGCATCGACCGAGCGTAAAACACATCGTATCGCCGTCGTTCGAGCGTTATCCCGATGTGATCCATGAACTCGGCTGCACATTACAGCCAGACATCGCGCAAACGGCGGTAATCCTAGCACGAGTACAAGAACATCTACCGAACCTTCGGTCATCATCGACCAGTTGGTGGGAGGAAAATGACTGGATTTTGCACCTCTCCGAGCCCCTTCCATGGCGGCCTCAAGGGGATGAGATTTGGCCTCAGGAGATAAACGATTTTTGGCAGACTTTTCAGTGGAGTGGTAATCCTTGGATTCTCTCACCGCAGGCGCTCGAGCTGTCCCGATCCAAATATAACAGAATTCGTGATGTATCCCTCGAACAACTCCACATCCAGCGGACAGGCCCCCAAGAATACGTCTTCAGCGGCATTGGCACGGATGTCCATGACCCCCGCCATTCGCATGCGAAACTTCGAGAATGGGCGATCATAATTTTACTTTCGTCGCCGCCACTAGACGTGGGAAATCCGGTAGGGTGCCCAAGCCCATTGCGGCTAAGGCAACAGCTACCATTCACGCAAGCCATCTCATGGGTGCTGATCGGGCCAGGCAAGGTTCGAGGCGTTTCACTCTCTGATGAATCTGATCGCCCTCAGAGTTGGGAGCTCACTCAATGCCACGATGGCATAACTTGGGTTTTCGACGGCGCTCCGCCGCTAGTAAAAGGGAAATCGCAGGAACTCACCCAAAAAGCGGAGAGCAAGCTCAGCCGACATGGGGTTGTCTTTTTTCCAACCCACAGATCCACCACTATCCGTGGTCCGCACCGCCTACGGTTCCCAACCATCGACTATTCACTTTTTTGAAAAAACAAGCTTTTCAGGCGACAAAGCGCGGTCTCGCAGCACCGCTGAAGCAGGTCATCGATCGGCTAGCCACCAAGAGCCAGAATACGCGGTGGCAATGCACAGCTTTAAATGTCACGCCGGCTCAGCTATGGGATCACGGCCATGCGGTAACGGAATACCAGCTATGGACACGATATCGACACGCTACCGGACAGCTAAACTTTTGGTACCAAAACCGACCCCCGGACGGATCATGCACATATTTGGAATGTGTAGGCCAAAAGGAAACCCAGGAGCATCTCTTTTGGGGATGTCCCCGCGCTCAGGCAATCTGGGCCCGGCTTATCAGTCATTGGGAGAGTACACCTCACCATCCTACCCACCTCCTGGATTGGCTCGAACACTGCGCAAACTGTAGCGTACCACGCATCTCGCCGCAGGTCACAGCAAAGCTGTTAGCCCGGTACCCGGAAGACATTGATCTATTCGCCACAGCCTGGAGGACGATTTGGGAAGTCGCAGTGACCGTCATTATCACAATGCTCTGGCAACTTCGCGTGGATAGGATTTTTAACAATGCGCTTATTCCGATACAAGCCAGTGAAACTTTGATCTGGAATCGGATTCAGCTCCAACTGAGGGCGCTCATCAAACGTCTCCATTGCAGGGCGGCCACAGCCGTCCGTGGAGCCCAACTATCTGCATGTTACGACATATTTATATCAGAACCGAGAGGGCAGTCCGGCGTTCATAGACGTGCTGCCAGCCGCAGGCAATTCCTGGACCCTCCAGCGTTGCTAGTGTGGTTAACTACCTACCAGAGATCTTGCACTAATCAGTAAATAGACAATCTGTTCTCTCTCTCTTTCTCTAGTGATCATGCCATAGATCAGGCTAGTACCTTCGTACCTGGTTCTCGGACCAGATTAGTACGCTCTTTGCGCCTAAGTGGTGGGAATGAATCCGGGTTCAGTATAGCCGTATTTTGTATACTCGCGTGGCCGCTCAAATCTCATTAGGTATCACGTAAAGAAAGGGAACTGTGAACGAGGAAGTAAATGGAAAAGTAAATTAACTTATAAAGCCCCTACAAATGTATTGTGATATCTAGTAAAGAGGGAACTCCGGAACGAGGATGGACATGGAAAAGTAAATTAGCTCTTCCTGTTTAATCAATTTATGCTTGGAAGAAGCATTTTAGAAAGTTCTTCTGTAGTTTTTTTTATTTCTGAGCCCCAACAGCTGCCTGTGACTGAATATTAAACTAATTTTACCACTTGCGAAGTTAATACAGTACTACAGTATAATAACTTTGTCGGGCTAGACCTCCTATTCAAATCATTTTTGCATATCACGCAATTCATGATTCAGATTTGTCTCCCCAGGGCTGATTTGTGATTCAGATTCATGATATTCAGATTCATGATTTATGAATCAAGTCAACTAAATAATACATTAATAAAAAACTAATTAAGAAAGACGAGCTCGTATTATTGAGGCATTTATGTGCCTGAAATTTATTGCAGAAAATAAGGCTACCTTCAGATGGACTAATCCTTATAAATGGTTTTCAATTAAATCTATTGTCATCATTAATTTTTGTTGAGTCAAAAAGTGGTGATCAAAAGACTGTCAATAAATTATATGAAATTTGAAACATGACGCGTGATAGAGATTCATGATTCATAAAGCAGATTTATGAATCATGAATCTAGATAGGAGGCCTAGTTAGGGCTCAGAAAAAAACCTACAACAGAACTTTCTAGATTGCCTCCTCTCCAGCATTAATTGATAGATTGATTAATACTTGAGAGGAGGCAATCTAGAAAGTTCTGTTGTAGGGTTTAAGATAGTTTTTACTTTCTCGCTCCACATTTCCCTCTGTATTTAATGTAATTGAGGTTTAATTACAAAGGGTCGAGGAAGTCAATAAAAAAAGTATAAACTTTATAGAACCCCAACAAGTGTATTGTGATATCAGATACAGAGGGTACTCGGGAACGAGGAAGTAAATGAAACGGTAAATTAGCTCTTATACACACCCTATAAATGTTCATAGCCAAATTGTAACGGGGTTACACGACGGTTGGTGTAAGAAATGGGCACTCATGCGTAACGATTAAAGTAATGACTGACGACTTAGCAAGGTGTAAGGCGATTAGTTCAGTGATAGTTCGAACGTGATCGATGGATAGGCGATTGAGTGGCCAAGAGCGTGAATGGCTAATACTTCGGTCCCGTAGAACTTCCGGATCGCAAGCTTATGCTACCTTGCGTCGGGCATAGGATACTGGATTGGTGAAGGAGCTTGCATCGGCGCAGCTGGCGGCGCTTGATGCTGTGGCATAGGCTGGTACAGTGGCAATGGAGGAGGCGGTGGTGGAAGTTGCTGTGCGCGCTGCGGCGCACGTTGCTGTTACCTTGGCCTGGAGCCATCGATATGATCCATACTCGGACGGGGAACTTGGTGGATTCGCAAGTCTGACCATCCTAGCGCGTCACGATGCAGCTTACCCGCGAGGTCTGCGCCAAGCATCGAGCTGAACATCTCGCTTTCGCCAGCGCAACGCATACGTTCGTCTTGGTCCATCCTGGCCTGGGACAGCTCTATCTTTTTTCATGCGTTCGTCCATCCCACTTAGCATCTCGAGAACCTTCTGCGTCGCGTCGGTCTACGCGCTTCTTGCGTGAGCGTGCGGAGGGATGACCACGGCAGGCTCCGACGCCACCCTTTCGTGACTGGTTGTCGACGGTGCCTGTGCCGTATTGGTATCATCGGTTGCCTCTCGTTGGGCTCATTATCTGTTCGATAGCGTTGTTACTAGTTGTAGGGAGGGAGTTGATGGCGGTGTGATAAAAGGATTCTGACATTGCTTTTTTGTTATTCTTTCTACTATAAAGGACTAGCTGTTCTTGTTCTTCATCATCTCTATCCACTCAGTGTACGTCGGACTTGGGTCCGATATTTCGACTGGGGTAAAACCTTTTGGGGACAAGGAGACATGGCACAAGAGCCGTGTAGATTTCTGTGGACCAAAAATGTCAAGACTAATGTC